AAAAATGTAGGTTTGCATCAATCATTGGTGCTGGGCGAAAGGTTTAAATGTTATAACAGAGGGGTATTAGGGCAAAAAAGCTTATTTCTTGAAAGGAACATGGTCAAGTATAAAACAAGAGAGGTAATTTGTACAAATCATTTCAGAACACAAAGTTTATTTGTTCAAAGAAAGATAGTCTAATCATTGTATAAAGAAAGAGGTCTGTGCATTCGAAAAAAGAGATTACAATTATACAAAAAGTTAGTTTACATAAAGACCTATGGAAGTTCATATGTTCCAAAATGGCTTTATAAGCAGGAACTGAACTTATTATAAACATAAACAGGAAAATCATTGTGTGTTTGATAAGGAGGTAGATTGATACAAGGATGGAGACAAAATGCTCAAAATATATCCTTCTTCGAAGCCATTCACTTTTTATCTTTGTATCCTTCACGAAACCCTTAATAAATAAACAATTAAAAATCCTTGAACGAAAGACATTGATACCCATGATGCAAATTCAGCAGCCTGCATGTATCAAGAAGAAATATTAAAGGAAACAGCCAAGGATAATATTGTTTAAATAAAAAAAGAAAAAAAACAATATTCATACACAAGAGTGCGAGTGAAAGAACCATGGGATTTGTTCATCCTTATGAAGATAAACGAGTCACAGACACTATAAGTGCTATTGATAGAAATATTCAGAAACCACAAATGTTTTACCTCATTTCTAACCATCCTGACTATCTTATATATTTAACCATAGACTTTGTATAAGATTTCATGTTACAGGACCTACAGAATCAAATGAAAATATTGATAAACATACGAGTATATATAGAAAATATTAAAAAAAAAATTTCTCACAATATTCACCACAATTGATTTTTCTGACAAATCCTGCCAATTTTGAAATCTTAAAAAACTATGATATATTGGCTACATCGATGATGTCATTGGTTGGAAGAAGAAATTTCAAATCTGACCATGCAAAAACAAGAAGTTTTTCTGATATCAAAAGGTGGCAAAATTTATCAAGAAGATCTATTTCATCCTTTTATCAAATCTCATAACACCTTATATAGAACCATTGTTCATAAAAATGCTCACCTTGGATGTTATCCATTATTCTTAATGAACGTCAATATTCAAACAGCAGGTATAACAGTTTTAGTGATAATATAATGCAACAAGGTTCAACAATTAGATGGACTTTAGCTTGAATAGCTGACATTGATTTCATAACTTTTGGACTTGAACCCAGGATAAGCCAGCCCTTGATCTGTATATTGTTATACTAGAATTAAATATGCAACCATTGAGATTTAGATCACTTCTCAGGAGAAAAAGAAGTTCATATAGAGAAAATAAGTGTGAGCCCCAGCTACACATTTTGACCAGAAATGAATATTTGCCAACAAGAACAAGTTGCAAATTCCTGTTTAAGTTGCAAATGATTAAATTACAGGTACAGCAAAAATCAAACTCTGTCATACTGAGCCAGACACACACATAGAACTTAACAGTTATAGGGTAATAAAATAATTTTAATTTGTTTTTATCCTGTTGGCACACTTAGCCTTCAAACTTCATAAATGTCCCCTCCCAAATCTGAATACTTTATATTCAAATATTATTTATTCACAACTAAGTGGCACATAAGACTAAATCATAATGTCCCTCAGGATGAAGAATCTTACACCTTGTTATTTGCCACAGAGAAAGTTGCTATGCCAGTGGTATGTAAGAGTTGCAAAGTAAAAAATCAAAACCAGCAAAAAGTTAGGCAAAGAATCACATTTACATCTGTTGCATCTCCAGACAAATGATTTCACCAGTTGAAGATATTTGATCTAAGGCCAGCCTGGTGCACCTTGGCCATATGTACTTTGTACTATGGACCTATAGAGTACATAGTTCTTCATACTATTGCTCTCATATTTAAAACTATGCAGCAGTTGAAACATTGACATCATAAAGCTTTATTTAAAGGGGCAATAAGGACTGTAGAGAAAATAAGAAAAAAATTTCATTTTTTCTGAGCTATCAAGGCAACATTTGGTTTAACATCTTCTTTGACATACCTATTTTCTTAAAATGTATGGATAAATTATCAATTTCAGCATTAAGAAGTTTAAATTCAGTTCGAAGCTTCAAAAAGGGGACTTCCACTTTTATATTTTTAAGATCCACCATGTTTCAAGAGGAATATCAGCTAAAATAATGTTTATCTAGGGGGTTTCTTTGTAGATAATAAAAATAGATGTTAGTCTTGATGAAATATCCAAACTTAAATATATTTTGACACTGGTCCATGATCGTTGAATGACCCCTCTGCACTAATTATTGCACCTTTAACTTTGTTTCTGGACAAAATTTAATTTTCTAACACACGGCTATAATGAGAATTATATTTAATATCATACATGCACTCCCAAAGAAATAATAAATGGGATAGAGCTGTATGAATTCTTTGAAGTATTGTCTTTGTCAATGGCCACATTTTGATAAATAGCTCGCTCAAATGAATATGTTTATTTTCTTAATGAACTCATAACTGTTTTGTAACCATGATGACCACCTCATAATGCATTTAAGCCAATAATTCATGCAGCTTGCTTAACATGTACATCATTATTTTAAGGGTATTTATGTGCTGTGCAAGATATGGTTGAGGTCATCAGCCTCAAAATGCTTATTAGTTGATTTAAGGTAGTAAAGATCATCAGGCTTTAAACTGAGTTTAAACTAAGCTAGAGTTGTAAAGTACCATGAAATACTGGTATTGGTAAACGCCTCTTCCTATTAGACACAGATCACATAAACATTGCTTAGATGGATGCTAAAACTAACTTATAATCACCTATATTACACTTTGTATATATTATGCATTCTAATATACAGCTACCTATAGACCATATACCTCATAAACAACTATGTACATATCATGCATTCTAATATATGTACAGCTACCTGTAGATCATTATACCTCATAAACACCTATATACATATTATACATTCTAATATGCAGCTATCTGTAGGCCATATACCTCATTAACACCTATAAACATATGCATTCTTATGTACAGCTACCTGTAGACATGATATACCTTGGAAACACCTGTATACATATTATACATTCTAATATACAGCTACCTATAGACCATATACCTCATAAACAACTATGTACATATCATGCATTCTAATATATGTACAGCTACCTGTAGATCATTATACCTCATAAACACCTATATACATATTATACATTCTAATATGCAGCTATCTGTAGGCCATATACCTCATTAACACCTATAAACATATGCATTCTTATGTACAGCTACCTGTAGACATGATATACCTTGTAAACACCTAGAACATATTATGCATTCTAATATACAGCTACCTGAAGACCATATACCTCATAAACACCTATGTACATATTATGCATTCTAATGTACAGCCCTGGGGGGTTCACTGTATATAAAACTCGATGGGGGTCCTAGGCTGAAGCCTCAAATATCAATATGTTCCCATACCAATCTGTCAAATTTCAATTTGTTCCCATACCAACCTAAATAACGCCCAAAGGCCATACCAAATGTCCAAATATAGGACCAATGCCATACCAAATGTCTAAATATAGGACCAATGCCATACCAAATGCCCAATTATGGGACCAATGCCATACCAAATGTCAAAATGTAGGACCAATGCCATACCAAATGTCCAAATATGGGACCAATGGGATCACGAAAAATCTCGCGAGACTTCATCAAAGCCTATGATTGGTCCTCATTTCCCGGGAAAAGGGATAAAATTCAAAAGTTGAAGGCCCTGGAAAAGAAGATACTTCGGGAAACGATCCAAAACAACTTCAAATTTGCAACTACTGGACCAATGCCATACCATGAAAGTTAGGTAACGTATCTACAACGACCATTCTCATACCAGAAGAGCAAAAGTCGGACCATTGCCATACCTCAGAAGTCAGAAATTTCCGGGCATTCCCATACCAAATCCTAAAATATGGGTCCATTGCCATACCAAACGTTGAAAAAGGTACCCCACATGCACTGAGGATTCCCGTCAAGGTTTATATATAGTGAACCCCCCCGGTGTACAGCTACCTGTGGACCATATACCTCGTAAACATCTATACTAATGAATAAACACATATCTAAACAAATGGACACAGCCCTTATAAACACGTAACTATTAGTCTTAATCCAATGGTATTTTAGATATAAATACTATTATAAATGGAGGCCAGACTTGAGTATCAAACACTGAACACGAGTTGGGAGAATTAGGTGTTCATCAATGTAATTCCACATAAAAGTCTCAAGAGGTTACAAACTTAAAAAAAATAAATTCTGCCTTGTTCATAGGACAATGACTATGTTAAGGTAATTGTATGCCTGGGCCTACCATTTCCAAATCATACTGCTAAATAAAACCATGGTCTTGTAGACTTCTAATCATAAGTTTAGTCATAAATCATTCTATCTCCTTGCCAAATAAAGAATCAAAGTTTAATTACAGCTTAATTGTTTTTGAGCAGTTTAAAGTGACCTTATCCCACTCAAAGATATGATGAAGATGTGACTGAAGGCAGGCAAATTATTTTAACATATGGAAACATTTGTTAGTGTAGCTCTTTTAATAAGGTTAAACTCCCTGAAAACTGTGTTACAGGAAATTCCAACACTTTCATGTTTCACTAGAGTTGCCCCGGGATCATCAGAGGACATCAAATTATGATTGTCAATAAAGGAAAAAATGTTAGGCTCCAAATCTGATAATTTGGGATCAATTTCTTAAAAAATAGGCCCTATATAGGTCAAAATGAAGCTTTCTTGTAGTATTTCATCCATGCACACTTCTAGTCTGCTCAATTTGTCTCACTCATTCCTCTAACCTAGCTATAGCTTGGTCACAATGATACATCCTCAATATCAATTTCAAATAATTCATGAACCCGATAACATAAGAAAAAATATAAATAGCCTTACCATGGTACTCATAATCCATACGTGTCCATGATTTTTCCATTTTGCACTCATTTCATAAACCCAAATAACTAAATGTCCTCCTTAGTATCTTCCAGTATAAGCTATCCAAACTAGTCAACTTTCGTAACTAAAAAAATTCAAACGCGATCTCATAAAGACGGTTTTAAATTGAGCATACTATAATAGCCCAAATGTTCCAAAGATTGCCCAAAGAACTAGTGGATTAGTGAAGATTAAAATTTAGACTAACTAAGCTCATAAAAGACTGGGGTTAATGCTGTATATAAACATTTCAGAATCAATAGTTTTGGCCAGTTCAGTTTGGGTAATATTGGTGGTTGTCTCAACAACCCCACAACATCTTCTATTATAATATAATGTTCAATGATTATGGGAAATGGTAGATATAATCCAATACACTTGTTCAAGGTCTGCACATATAGTTCTTCCTCTGTATAGTATTTGGCTGCATATAGCATTTTAGGTGCATTTTATAATGCATCCTTTTCCAAAGGGTGCAAACATACTTTTCACAGGGTGCAATGTAATTTTCAAATTTTTGACTACAGGGTGAGGCACACACTTCTAATACTGGGAAGATTAATGGGATTCAACAGACTTTACATTAAAGTTGAACTGATCTAAAGAATTAAAAAAATTTAAGTTTGATTTCTTATACCTTTACTTATGTTTTTTACTTTGTATTTACCTTAAACAATTGACATTAATAGGAGCAGAACCACGGATACCCAACATTGGCAGGTTAAAATAAATCAAAATTGATGGTGTAAAACCACATACTAGTAAACATTGTATGGGACTTGCAGTAAAGGTAAGTAGATTTATGAAAGTATCATAAGTTTACAATATTATTGGATTACGCAAAAATTCTTCAATTTAAAATTTAACCGGTCAAATCCTTGGGTTCAAATGGATTATCTAAGCCTATGAATAGAAACTCAGTACATACAACAAATGTGATTCTGGTCCTTGCAATAAAAGAATTATATCATATTATCACAAATGATCAATCAGCTTAAAACACCGATATATAGCTTTCTCTCTCTCATGAATAAAATAAAAGTTGTAACAGCATTAGGTAATTGGCTTATATTGACCAATGTTGACATTTTAATCGAGTGCAAAAAGGTTCACAGTTCAATATAATCACATATGATTAGTAAAATGAACAATGATAGACACCTTTCTGAATAAATTTCACAAAAAAGACATCACATTGCTAAAAAATAAATCACTTGGCACAAGACTTCATTCTCTAAGAAAGGGAAGGAAAGGAGGCAGAAGATAGGTGACCATTTTGATGCAAGACTGAGTAATATCGAGATTTTCATCAAGAGCTTCACACTTCTGTAAATTATGATCTTGCAGTAATCATTATCCAATTTCTGTTATTCTTACATGTACACAACATCAACTTTTTGATATCCCATTTCTGTAATTCTTCTTTCACTTACCAACAGAAAAAACACAATGGCTTTAAAAGTAACTATGGCTTATTCAAATTTCTCTCCCAAATACTGGAAACAACTTATTTCTAAGTTTCTTGATAAATATCCGCAATAGATTCATACAAATGAGGTAAGACAATTCCCACAAAAATAGAAGAAAAATGCAATTACAGTTGGGGACAAAAATAAATGACAGGTCGATTTTCGATCACCATTTCCTAATTATGGTGGTCTGAAAGCCCATAATTTCCAATATTGTCTAGATACATATCCCTTAAAATTTGTATATTTTACATTTTGTACAATCTCATCCACTGATTTATGGCCTCTTGTAAATTCTCTTATTTTTAACATGGGAAATCCTCACTTCAGCAAATCCACCTGTCATTTATTTATGTCCCCAACTGTAGCCTAGCCTACATTTTTCTTCAAACGATACTGTTAAAATTAAGTCAAATGCTACGATTTAACCTATTTGGCTTTAATATGTCTCCACTATTTGTAAATTCTGATTGGGACTAATATACCTTTTGATTTGAGAAAAAATTAATTCCATTAATTTTTGAATTAGGAAGGAAGCCAAGACATGAATTTATGACTGTATAAACCACAAATATGCTCGAATAAGGAGATACATACACATAGAGGACAATCGTAACATAATCATAATATAATAAAAAGTTACACCCTTTAAAATTTTAGTCATGATATGTCACGGAATTGCTATGTACAATAAAATAAAACTCATTGATTTCATTGTATTATAAACATCATGTAAAATGCTCAATGAAATAATATTCAAAGTAGAATTCCGTATTTATTGATTCATAGATTTCAAGGGTAGAGTCGACTTCATTTATGTTAAAAAATTCAATACACATATCCATCAACATTTGATTAATGTTTTTTCATTGAATGTTTAGCTGTTATAATATCAAAGTGTATACAATGGGGCATGACCCTATACACAAAAGATCAAGTACTCACCAAAAATGTATGTATGTTTAAACAGAAAAGAAAAGTTACAAAATCACGGACTTAACCTATATCACACCCTCACCTGAATGGGTATTTCCAGCCTTAAAAATAAAGCTGGTTTAATCTCACCTGCATCAAATAAAACATCAGTGCATGACATTAACTGAAACATATTTACATAGAAATCAACTTTTAAAAATGTATATAGCACAAAAACGTGGTGGACTAATTGAAGGAAACTTCTATTTTTGTGAATTGTATTTTAAATGAATGATAATTCAATTTCTTAAGAAATAAGACCATAAAACATCTAATCTGTCTAATATTTTGGTACAAACCCAAAAATGCTCCATTTGAGCTATTTTAAGGAGTTCATGGCCTAACAACTTTCAATGTTACTTTATAAAACAGGGATTTCAATAATTTTGTTTCTAACATAATGGAACTATCAATTCTATAACAAACATTTCTAGACTTTCTTTTTTAAACTGTGCCACACTTCAGCTTATGGTATATAAAATAAGACAACATGATAAAATACAATTATAATATTTAAATAGGGGTATCCATGACAAGTTTCAATAAGGAATATAACATAAAAAATAGGATTTTTCAAGCTCTATCAACAAGGCTCTGCCAGCAGTATAATGGTCCAGTAGTGGCAATTCCCAAATTGCTATTATGAAATTCGGATTACCATCACAAACCGATAAATGTACTTTATAAAATTTTAAAATTTAATTGTTGATTAACTATATAAAATAACCTTATTGCTAGTTAGAAAATGAATTCCCGACAGCCTCAGATATTTCAATCAAAAAACAGTCTAGACATTTACAACATAAGGAAACAGGTTGTTCAAATGTTTCAGAACATTATTAACTGTGTATCTTATTGAATAAGCCATATCAACTTTGTGTTCATGTACACTTCATGAAAATACCTAAAATATATATATACTTACTTAACTGTACCATATTGAGAATGATGAAGAAATTTCACAAATTTTTTCCTGGTTATATAAAAGAACTCAAACTGCTCATGCCTTTCAAAACCAGTTAACTTCACCATGCCAAACAACGTTCTGTTAAATATGGGAGGAGTTACTTTACATATTTAGTGCATTTATGTGAATCAAGACCTGAATGGGCAAATCCCCAATAAAATTCACATTCAAAACACATGTTTAGCCTTAATAATTGAGCAACTTACCACAACATGAATGTCTAGTTTATTTAAGACTTTAATCATACTCATTAAATATAATGTTACTCAATAATTGATTCATTAATAAAAGCAAACATTGGCAATAGTTCTGAATTAACTAAGTTTCCTTAGTCTGGCCTAAGTCTTGTTTTTTATCCTTGTTGTCCATTGAACCTAGTGATTCCATATACCACATTTTACGGAAAATTGCCATATGATCATCTATTACTATGTCTCGATATAGGCCCCCTCATTCTCACCGCAATGATAATCGATCCACATGATAAAGATTACCAAAGAATGGAAATAATACATTATTTTTGGCAGAACAAGGTGTCTGAATACGCCAATATATCAATGACAGCCTTAAAAATAAAATGTAGAAAAAACGAGAAAATTCAGTGAAAAAAATTTCAATTGGAGAAACTGTCATAGATTTCCGGCAACTGCTTTTACAGCCAGAACTGTGCTTTATTTCCCACATACCTGCAACTTCCTTCAATATTTCAACAAAAAGAATAATTATACTTGTTTATTTAACTAAGAAAAGACAAAGTCAGAAACGTCATAATGATGACATGCAATGACATATTTGAATATCAGAAAGTGATTTATTAGCAATGACGCTTGTTCATTGATATTCGATATCCAAAAATCCAAGGTAACGGTAAATTCATAAAGAATCACCCTAAAAAATTGAAGACTAGATGATTGATATAGAAACCATATGATTTGTTCTTTAGATAATGACCCTGGATGAGCAGGACAAGTAATATGATATGATTCAACAAGCAATTAATCAAAATCATAATATAGTCTACTTTGAAGCGTACAAAACTGCACTGAAATTACATAGATTAAACTGAAGATAATACATGTAGTGTCAAATAATTAGTTCAAAACGCCATAGCATCAATGACATTATCAGCCTTACTAATGCTCATATACAGGGTGTTTCATATGTATGCACCCCCCTCTAAACTAATATATAACATGATAGGGTGGCAATGCTACATGTATGAGTTTAGAAGGGGGTGCATACGTATGAAACACCGTGTATAAGAGAGCATAAGAGTCCATTCTTCCGAATGCAGGATTCCAGACATCATCCAATAAGTTCCTTCCTTCTTCTACCCTGCTATCAGCTGGTTAGTATAGGCCGGGAAGAAGTCGGTGGATGCTGTAAGTCTACATATTATGCAAACATAATCTAAGTTTCATTGATTGTAAAAGACCTACCTAGAGGATAAGAAACTTTGAAAATCCCAATTATTCATTCTATGATTAGGTGGTGATCATTCTCCTGCATTGGACTTTTTAATGATTTTTATAATACTTATTATAATGCTTACATTCCACTGCATAACCTTCATATAAGGATTTGCCAGTATAACAATACCTTATCACACATAACAAGACAATCATGAATATAACTTTAATTGACTAGGTGCAAGTAGAAATAATCTTGATTTATGTCATTAAAGATCCAAAATTCAGTCAAAGTGATATCATAGGCTATCTGAAATCTACATGTAAATTTACATAGTATAAATATAGTTCGAAAAGGTGTTTATCAACTTTGAAAATTTAATTTTCTTTGAAAATGTGACTTCTCGATCAGGGAGATTCCCCATAGACCCAATGTTCTAAAATCACAAAAAGTGAAATATCCTTTCTTGTATAATATTTTCTTTTATTGGACTTATTTTAATTTGTATACATAACTATTGGATATGCAAGGGTGATATAAAAAAATGAACTATTAAAACTGATGAATATTCAAGAACTTCCTAGATACCTGCCATGATATCTGACCCAAATGAGCCACCTGGTGGTGAAACTGATAAATATCTAGTCACATCTTGGTCATTTACTAAGGGTTTTTAATAGAGTTTATATTCTTTAATTTTTTGGAATTGCCCTTTAGTTCAAGTGAAAAAATAATACAGCAAATATGTCAAGCACGTAACTCAAAAGCTCTTCAGTAGTTGACAATACATATTGTGGTCCTTGGCACACGTAGATCAAATAATGCATTTTGTTAACTAAATTAACAATGTTTAATGTTCTGGCAACTCACAATGTGTTAAATGTTAACCTGCATGTTGTAACTTGTATCTACAATAAGTCAATGCCCTTTATATGTCAGCTGGTCCCCAATCATATTCCCAAGACACCAAATGGTTTGTCCTGCTCAACGTACTTTCTGGCTTGGTCACAAGTATACTATGAAAGATGCTGAAGGAGTTAGTATACACTAAACTAAGCTACTGAATTCAAACTTCAAATCTTATTTACTTTTGGTGTTTCTTGTTTAAATTAAGCCTACTCCCAAAAGAGGATTACAGACATCCAATCAACAGTTATTTAAGTAAGATTAACCAACTATTTATTTACTTGTTGAATCTCCTGACATTCTATATAGCATTATAATAAAATGTACAGATGTTTCATTTTGCAACTGATCTTGGAATTAAATCATCAATCATATGTTTTACCTCACTCATAATGTAGTTAAATATTTGCTTTAAATTGTGAAGTACATCGAATGATCTTGGTCAGTAAATAGACATTGTATGTGTGCCACCGCCTAACATACAACATAACAAACACTATGTGTCCACAATATAACATTCTATAAACAATCCTCAAGATTTGTTTTTCTTTAAATCTACATTCAAGGAAAATTTCATGAAACAAATCATTTTGGTCAAATCAATGAGCAAAATAGCTATCTTCTCACTCATTGTCACTTTCTACTGGATGGACCTAAACACCCCAGGAAGAAACAAGAGAAATCTTGTGAATTAAGTTGAATGAAACCTCTAACTGCACTTTTTGAAATGTTGCATAATATGCAATCAGGTCAATTTTAAATGATCCCTCTAAATCTAACTCCTTTGGTCACTTAATTTGCGAATTCAACTGCCGACTGATGGCTGGCAGATTAATTACTACTTTATGACCTAAATTAGCGGTTAATCCATCAGCCAGGTAGCTAATGGTTTAATTTACAAATGCTAGCAAAGTATGCACTTGATTTCGGGGATTTGGCGAAATGTTATTACTAATCTTCATGAATATAAACATACTGTACATTGATTAATGCTATTACCATAAATATGGTATTTCTGCTACAGAAGCAACTTAAGTTTATTTTGCAAGGGGAAACATCTCATATATATTCTGCAAATTTTCTGACATTTTAGAGGCAAAAAACAATGTATCTTATCAATGTGACCTTTAAAAACTAATCAAGCTATCAATTATCATTAAAATTGAATATTGCTGATCAACAAAATACATAAGACTGAAACAAATAAAAAACAAACATTTATGAATCATATCTGAAGATTAATTAATTTTTGTAAATACTGTAATTTCAAAAACATGTAAGGCTGAATAGAGTTGTTTATGTTCATATTGTACCTTGTAATGATATAACAAAGTAAATATGAAACAAGTAAGTTAAAGCAGATATGAAATGGTATGATAAATGTATTTAGACATGTTTCCTCATCAGAATAGTGAAAGTTATTTTACTCTAACGATGCTTATAGCTGCTTAATAAGCAATATTTGAATCAGTTGTGACGTTATTGGCCCCCACGTGATCTCTAACTGGTCCCCACGTGGCCAGTTTTGGTCCATTAAAGCATGATGCCATAATGCCAAAATGTTTTGTTATTTGTTTACACAACAATCCTATGGTTGCCGTGATGTCATGATTACCAAGGAACCAATAAACCAAAACTATATATTATGTAAGAAGTTACTAATCACGTGGGGGCCAATCTGATTGATCAGTTTATTTAATTATGTTATTTAAGACCATTAACAGTTATCTAACATTTCTTTTATAATGGATATCGCAAGAACATCCAGAATATATTCTTTCTTTTTACCCCCTGCAATAAGCAGTTAGCATTTTCCCAATTAAGAACTCGCAATCTGATTGGCTGTCGCAACAATGCGACAGAAATCATGTATAAGTCATTGCACATAATTAGATCACATGATTCAGTTTAATCGGGCGCTTCCAAATGGGTCATAGCAGGGGGAAGAAGGAGGTACAGATTCTGGATACCTGCTTAGGAGGATGGTGGCAAAATTTGTAAAATGATCCGCGCTCTGCTCTTTGACCAATAACATTGGAGGATGCATGCGGAGTAACCATGTAGAAATGAAATTCTAGCCCACATAGATCTTTCCTAACCTGATATTCATTACTTATTGTATTGAACTTCCAACTACCATGGCCCTAGGCCTAGGCTATGATCACAGATCCTGGCCAGATTATTTTATAGTAGGATCAGTAGCTCAATAAATGTTCCTCAAGATGAGACACCAAGAAAATTTCGAAATTTTAAAAATGAAGATTGTGCAGTCATTTCCGAAAAATATGAGACAAATCAAACCTCATTCAAAGCGTCTTGTTCTTCTTTAACCTTTTTATCACCAATGAACGTTATTCAAGCAATACTGCGTTGATAAGAGGCCAAAACAGTGATATTTTATCGTCTGGCTCTTGTCTGTCCAAATCTGAATGGTGCTCCTGTGATTCAAGAAATGTGACGTCAGAATTACAATGATATTTGGACACACAATAGAGTCCATTTCACTGCTTCAGTTCGTCAGTAGAACGGCAAAAATAAGAAATTGGGAGACCATTGTGCAATAATATATGGAAAAGTATATTCATAATGTACATGAATGACATTTGTATATTTCAGATTTTTTAGTTTTTTGTGCAATAAGCCTGTGCCGTCTTGTAATTTGAAGAATTTCAGCCATGTTAATCTTATTGAAAATAACATGGCAGAGAAACATCCAAATATAAGAGGCCACACACTTTATAAACCAAACTAGAAGCAATCCAAGATATACAAATGTCATTCATGTACATTATGAATATACTTTTCCATATATTATTGCACAATGGTCTCCCAATTTCTTATTTTTGCCGTTCTACTGACGAACTGAAGCAGTGAAATGGACTCTAGGTTATTTACTCGAACTAAACAAGTAGAAATGGAAAGATCTCAGCTATAAAGGTAGCATTTTGTATAAGGAACGTTTTGAAAGGTGGTCACTTTTTGAAATTTTCCAATTTAGTGATGCTTCTTCTGAATTATTCTTTGAGCCAATGAGATCCTACTACAAAACGATGTGGCCAACATCATGGCTATGAAAGTTTGATGAGAAAAAAAATTGCTCGAAAATTCGAAAACTTTTGATTTCTCTTGAATTAAAAAGTTGCTATTTAGGAAAGAAATCATACTATATTTCCAATCAAAATACAGAGACAACAAACATAAATAAAATAATTGTCCAATAATTGCAATAATATGACGTCTTACCTTGCGTTTTGAAACTATTTTAGACGATTTCTCGGAAACTTCTGCGCCGGATATGTAAGCTGAAATCAGTTTGCGGCGATGGCCGACAATTTCCGGAGATAACCGAGATTAAAAACTTTGAAATTTGGAGCATAGGTGCATTCCCGGGAGAGTAGATCAATACTCAAGAGATTTTTCAATATTTCATTATTCTTTGTTATATGGCAGGATCAGACATAACATGTTTATTTTGAGATGTGAATCTCAAAATACCTAGAAAGCTGTCGCATTTTGACGTTCGTTGATTCACCGTGAACACATACGCTCTTCATAAAGAAGATGCGAAAATAACTTCTGACTTCCGGAATGTGAATTTTCGAATTTGTTACGTTATTTTCTCCTATAGTCAGTGCCATGGCACACCATTCAGAGTTAAGAGTTCTTAAGGAAGAAGAAAAGGTATTGACCAACCTATCTAGAAAGCTTGCTGATCAACTTAATCGACTTAAAGTGAGTATTGTTATACATCATTTTTTCAAATAATTTCATGAGGATTTTTATTTACACTAGACATGGACCTATATAGGTCCATGCACTAGACTATAGTTTGGAACATAAATAAATGACAGGGGGATTTGCTGAAGTTAGGATTTCCCATGTTAAAAATAAGAGAATTTTCAGGAGGCCATACATCAGTGAATGAGATTATACAAAATGTAAAATATACAAATTTTAAGGGATATGTATCTAGACAATATTGGAAATTATGGGCTTTCAGACGACCATGATTAGGAAATGGTGATTGAAAATTGACCTGTCATTTATTTTTGTCCCCAACTTTACTTAGATCTAGAGTAGATCTCATGTCCTGACTTCGTCGGTAGAACTTGAAAAATAAGATTTATCTAAAGATTAGGAGTCTTACTTGCCCTCTAGAGGTTAAGGTGCCATGGAAGTTAACAGAGATGACAAAACAAAAAATGATAAAACCATGCTGGATTTTGAAAAGTTTTTGAACCAAGATAACAGAGTTCTGTTTGATCTCCAGTCAGTTTAACTAGTTCCACATATCATTTACATGACCGGGAACACAATGGAAATGGTCAGAATGACCATAAACATGATGAAATAACCTTTTCAGCCCCCTGAAAATGTGACGAATAGCTGAAGAATAGCTAAAAGTAGGTACTCAGGAAAGGTAAATGAACAGAATGTTTTAATTTTTTCAGAAAATGTGTCCAATATATTGCTCTAAATGATACAATCTTTGAAATTTTTAAAAATTGTCTGAAATAATAATGGCTGTAGTGAAAAGGAAAATAGATCGATTTTCAATTTAGTTTTTTCAGTTTTTTCTTTTTCTAAGAATGATATCAATTTTGTTATAATTGTATCATTTTAAGAGCAGTATACTGGGCAAATTTTCTGAAAAAGTCAAAAGATTCTGTTCAGTGACCTTTCCTGAGCACCTACATGCACTCTAAGCTATTTTCAGTCACATTTTCAGAGGGCTGAAAAGGTTATTTCATCATGTTTATGGTCATTCTGACCATTTCCATTGTGTTCCCAGTCGTGTAAATGGCCTGACATAGAGCGGCTATACAGTTTGGATAATGGTACAGATACTCCAGGTTGGCTATCTTGAATCAGAAAAACTGGCTTCTGGCGTTGGTTATGTTGTTATCTACTGAAATTACAACTGGCTTCCAATCATCAATTGAAAAATTATAATAAACTGAATAATACATGTATCATGATCACTTCTTGTGTGTTTTGAAATTTATTGTTATTGAATTACGCCAAATCTAGTGATTCAAAATCTTAAAATCTCTCCCCATGCCCAGATTTGTGGTTTAGCAACAAATGTTTGATCTCTTATATTTAATACAAGGGCACCTTATGGCGGTCCTGGAAATCAAGAGGGAGGGGGCCCAAAAAGTGAACTAATAATAGAGAAATAAATTTGAGATATTGTAATACCAAATCAAAGAGGTTGTCAAATTCAACTAGTATATGATACTATACATTCTTTACAAATAAAATGTGTTTGGAAACTAGGTAATGATATTTTATAAACAACGTCTTGCAATGTGTAATTTTAGGTAGAAGAATTGACAATCCTTTTCAAGATAAGAGAAAGAGATAATAAAGAAACTGGTTTGGAAGAAACAAAAAAGGATCAAGAACAAGATGCTACAGTACAAAAAGTAAGTCATTACGATCTGAAACATTAAGAGGTTCCCTCTCAAGTTGTTAGCTGAGAGTGATCACAAAATCTCATTTAACAGTTTAACATGTTTATAAGCACAATTTCATTCCAAATGAGTCTGGCATAAGATTATTGTATAACTGTTGGATGCACAATTAACGACTAGTGAAGAGGTTCTTTTTCATATCATGATGTGATTTTTTTTTAAATTAAGAAAACTGTTTTAGACACCCGCTTGCCTCAATATAATGACCTAGTGTTAGTTATAGTTATCATTTGCATTGTTTAAGTTGACATACAAGGGTCAATTTCAAGAAATGACAAATAAATCCAAAAATCAATTACAAGTATTTTGGTATTTATTTATTATTTTTGACATGTATTTTGGTATTTCATGAATCCATCCACAAGAATACTTCGACCTCTATATCCAAATTATCAACTTTTCAGCACAGTAATTGTAATAGATACATGTCTTAGTATATTGTGATTTTGAAATTATTTACATTTGTATTACTTATAGGAAGATGCAGATGACTTGGATGTGAATATTCAACCTTTATTAGATCTGGACTTGGGGCCCACTGGAGACAGATACCAAGGTACTGATTCATGTCTTGTAAACACTTTATTTACCTTGTCTTCCCAAATCTATTTTAAACCATTTCATATGTATTATGTCCCATGCATTCTTTATGAATCTGACTTTTTTCAAAATTATTTACAAGTTCTCAGAAATTCAAATCTGACCTTAGATTTGAGATTTGTCCTTCAATGAACTTCTCAAGATCATAAAAACCAAAGGACCAAATTTGTTTTTTTACAAGTTATCATAAGTTCAAATCTGACTATAGATTGAACTCATAATATTGTGAGCAACTAACTAATTGGTGACATTTGTCATGTTAATGCCTTGTTTGGTGATGTTTTATTGTACATAATTTCTAATTAAACATTTTGTGGAAAAATGGCTGGTGTTTGATGTCTGTAAGTAACAGAGTTTAGCAGTCAGGATCTATAACAGATGGCGTCATTTTGTATGTTAATGTTGCCACGGTTCCAGTTTTATTTTGTTTTTTTCAGATGAAGAGGAAGAAGAAGAAGAAGATGATATGGATACAGAGATGGAGGAAAATAATCAATTGACTTACATGTTCAATACTGACATGACTGAGTAGCTATCCAAAAGAACTGAAACACATAGGTGTCTGTGAAATGGTCTCACTATAGACTCATTCATTTTGCAGTTCTGAGGAGGATAATGTCTATTGCAGAATTTTACTGTGTGACATGTAGTACATTGCTTATTCTTGCTTAGTCAAGACCCCAGAACCCCCCCCCCCATCCAGTCAGCTGCAGTAATTACCATACTCCTGTTTGGGATTTCCATTGTCTTCAAACAGGAACCCTGCACATTGTGGCTATAAGTGTTTCATTATCAACATTATGAGTGGTGCGCTATGTACAGGGTGGGCCAAAAAAACACCCCCCTAGCCATTATTTCTGATAAATATTTATTTTTTAACATGTACACCACCAACAATGATATCATTTTAAAGGTAATTTAATTTGCAACAAAATGATGTATAATAGCACCATTTTCAACAACCCCATATAGAAATATAACCAATTTTGTGACATGGGGGTCAAAAAACACCTTTTCAATTTTCATCGATTTTGCGAACAAAAGCCTATTTCTACCAAATTTTACTGTTCAGTTAAAAATTGCATTATTGTCATGAGTCTTTCGTAATTAGATATATATGGTTACACTTTAGTTTATGTCAGTGTGGTTCGCTGCCCCGTTTTGTTGTTGATTTGCCTTGTATTGTGTTCTTGTATTTCTCCTGTCAAAACATAATATCCATATTAATAAAATTGTTAAATAAATTATTTTTTACAATAAATAAATCGTTAGTTATATCGTATACATTTATAGGACATCCGTTGACCTTTCAAATTATTTGTCTATGAGGTTCCCTAAAACCAGAAATTGGCACCATATTTTGAAAATTTTAGGCCCATTGATAATTTGGAATAAAAAGGTGTAGAAAGGCAAAATTATGCCCCCAAAAAGGCCCTTTTTTGAGGCCCTACAGAATATTTAGGGCCCTAGAAAAATGTTCTTGGCCCACAAGAAGTGTAGGTGGTGACATTTTGTCATGTTAATGCTTTGTTTTTTTAAATGTCAAGGTTTAATTATATACTAGAGATACAAATTCTATCAATGTTAGACCATAATAGTACGCTTATTAGCATTTTGCAGATTATTGTTCTAAGACTATACATCTATCTACATCTATCATTATACTAATTAAAGCTCTTTATAGAGCAACACAATTAGTTTTGGAAGTCATCCAAGCTAAAAATCTAAAATGGCAGTATGTACAATTAAAATACTGTCTAAAAACAGGTCTCGTGTCATGAGCTAACCCTGCATACTAGATACCAGGGCATCACGGAAGGCAGTACTGTCTTCTATCATCCTGGTTGTGGAAGGAAGGTTGTTCCAATCTGTTATTGTTCTGGGAAAGAAGCTATTCTTGTAGGTATCAGTTCTGGCAAAGGGAGGGATGAATTGTTGGGCTCTTCTGCCAGTTCTGTTAGATTTCTCGATGTAGGGGGGAATGGGTATTGCTATTTCATTATGAAGGGCTTTATGGAATAGGGTGAGTCTCTTGGTTTGTCTTCGGTTCTCAAGCGGTTTCCATTCCAAATCTTTGTAAATGTTGGTGATGGTTCCTGGCTCCCTAGAGTACTGTTTGGTCACAAACCTTGCTGCCTGACGCTGAACCATCTCTACTCGTGCTTTGTCTTTCTTCTGGTAAGGGTCCCAAACTGAAGAAGAGTATTCCAAGTGGGGCCTGACCAGAGAATTATAAGCCGTGGCTTTGATGTTGCGTGGGCAGCTGTGGAGGTTTCGCCTCAGGAAGCCAAGGGAACGGTTGGCTTTGTTCACTATGTTGTTGATGTGAGTGGTCCACTTCATGTTGGATTCTAGTTCCACACCAAGGTAGGGGTTATGGGGTACATCCTGTAGTACTTGGCCTTTCATGATGTATGCGGCAGTTCTTGGCTCGCGTTTTCTGTGTACTCTCAATGTGTAGCATTTTTTGGCATTGAAGTCCATCTGCCACCGTTCAGCCCACTGTTGTAGTTTGGTGAGGTCATTCTGCAGTTCAGCTTCATCTGCCGCTGACTTGATGGTTCGGTAGAGTACACAGTCATCGGCAAACAGTCTCACAGATGATGTGAGTCCATCGCCAATGTCATTGATATACAGGAGGAACATCAAAGGACCAAGCACAGTGCCTTGTGGGACTCCAGATGTTACCTTGGCTGGTTTAGATATTTCCCCATTTACAACTACCTTCTGTGTTCTGCTAGTTAGCCATTCTGTGATCCAGGTCTTGGTCTTGTCCCTGATGCCGTAATACTCTAACTTCACAAGCAACCGTTGATGGGCTACGGTATCAAAAGCCTTGCTAAAGTCGAGTATCAGGACATCAGATTGACAACCAAAATCCAGTGATCTCACAAGATCTTCTACAGTGAGGACCAGCTGGGATTCACAGGAGTGCTTACCTCTGAAGCCATGTTGGTAATGCTTCAGGATGTTGTTCTTGTCAAGATGGTTCATAATTTGGTGGAAGATGATGTGCTCCATTATCTTACAGGGTATAGATGTTAGAGATACCGGTCTGTAGTTGGCAGCACTAGTTGGATCACCCTTCTTGAAGATGGCTGTGACGTTGGCCAGAGTCCAGTCTTTGGGAACTACTCCATCTGACCAGGATGATGTAAAAATCATCTGGAGAAGAGGAGCAACTTCCACAGCGGCTTCTTTGAGTATCCTTGCTGGTATTTCATCAGGTCCTGAAGCTTTCTTTGGGTTGACATTCAAAAGGAGCTTCAGGATACCCTCTGTCTGGAATGTTATGACAGGCATGCCAGCATAGGGACTCTCATTCATGGTTGGTATCTTCGTCAGGTCTTCTTTGGTAAACACTGATTGATATTGTCTGTTCAGTATCTCCGTTTGGTCTTTACTGGAGCTGGTTTCAGTGTTTCCTTCACGAAGTATGCTAATGCCCACTGTGTCAGTTTTTCTGGATTTGATGTAGGTCCAGAATTTCTTACCAATGGATGCTTTAGATGGGTCAGCATTGGCAGGGAGTTCTAGAAGACCAGCTATGTAGGTGTTGTGTGAGCTAGCTAGGGCTTTGGAGATCTTCTTCCTCAGTTGTCTGTAGAGGGCCCAGTCTTCTTTCTTGTTGGTACTCTTGGATTTTCTGAACTGCCGCTGCTTTTTGCGTATCATCTTTTTGATGGAACGGTTCATCCATGGTAGGTCCCATCTGGTACTAAGTTTTTTGGATGGAATATGCTTCTTGATGGATTCAGCAATGGTTGACTTGAACAAGTTCCACTTTGCCTCAGTGGAGATGGAATCATCAGAGAGCTTAGGATGTAGGTTGCTCAGATCTTCTTTGATTCCATCCATGTTACCTTTGTTGTAAAGGAACACTGTTCTTGGGGCTCTCTTCACTGGCTTCGCCTTGATGTTGATAGTAGTGATCAGGATCTCATGATCACTCATCCCTGGGGCTACGATGGAGTTTGCCACTAAACCAGGTATGGTAGTGAAGAAGAGGTCGAGGATGTTCTTGCCTCGAGTTGGAACTTTGTTCACTTGGTGTAGAAAAGACTCCTTGATGGTATTAAGGAGGGCCTCGTTGGTATCATGGCCATATGCTGGAGAGGTCTTGATGGTATTGTCCTCCCAGTCTACATCTGGAAGATTGAAATCTCCAGAGACTAAGATGTGGGGTGTAGAGTTACTGTGGGGAATTTTAGTGATAGATGCATTGAGTTCGTGAAGAGGCAGTGGGTCGTTGTCTGGTGGTCTGTAGAACGATCCCACATAAATTGGTTTATTTCCATATGTTGAAATTTTCGCCCATACGGATTCACTATTGTTCTCGAGTGATGGAACTGGTGAAGACAGAATGTTGCGGTGAACAGAGAGGAATACTCCACCGCCTCCTTTCTTCCTGTCATTCCTGTATGTCACATAAGCTGGTGGAAAGGTTTCACTGTTAGAGAAGGTGCCATCTAGGTGGGACTCACATCCAACAATGATGTCAGGTTGGTGGGTCTCAGAGAGAACAAGTAGCTGGTTACACTTCTCTTCAGACCTGAGGCTCCGACAGTTAACAGTGAGAAGCTTCAGCTGTTTTTTCGCCGTTTTATGTTGACGGGCACGGGGACAGTGTGGCGATGAAGTTGCCTGAGGAGAGGGAATAGAGCCTATTGACGATGATGACAAATTGCTGTAGGTATTGGAAGTTTCAAAATCTATTGTTGAATCAAAAAAGGAAGAATGGAAGTTGGGTAGTCCGCATGAGCAGCATATCCATGAAGTGCTACTGTTTGCTAAGGTGTTGTAGCAGAGAGATGACATCTGTAGGCAGTTAATATGCAGCCAAGTGTCACACTGATCACACTGTATGGCACGCTGACCATATTTCACTGCCTTTGAGCAAAGCTGGCACGGGAACTTAGGGGGCCTTGGACCTGGGTTTGTTTCTAGGTCGCCTCCTTGGAGGATGATGAGCATCATGAAAACTGAGTTGAGTCGGCTGGGTTTAAAATTTTGGGTTTTGAGAAAGCTAGAAAAAGACCATGGTTGGGGAATTCTGGCCAGAGTAAGTTGAAGAGCTGTTTGTGAATCAAAGGTAGGTTTTACTGTTATTGAGATACAGTAAATCAAGATCACCAGGAATAGTGTAAGTGGTTTTACACCCATGTTAAAATTGTAGGAAAATACCGATGGGCGATAATAGAGTGGTAAAATATCACCTGCAGTGTGCTTCAGATTGTACTCTACCCGGTGGAATTAAGCGGAGAATCTTCAGTGAAACTACAAACTGGTATGTTCCCCTGATTGTGGACTTGGTAGCTCGTATGTGTGACGGTGAGACAACGCAAATTTGACAAAATTAAGTGGGAGGAAAATTTGAAAATTTAGCGCAATGGATGACTTCCGTATAAGTTTCTGTTTAATATTAATATTTTATTAATAGTTTTTTGTTTTATATTATTCAATATAAGGCCATGAAAAAAGCATAAAGTCTGGCATAAAGTTAGAAGTCTATGGTTACTGATATAAAGTGATAAAAGTTTTAGACACAGTAACTGATCAGGGGCGGATCCAGGAACCAACAAGGGGGGGGGGCCCAAATTTCAGGTCAAAGAAAAAACGTCCGCGCTTGCGCGGAAAAAAATTTTGGGCCCCTAAAATCCAAAAGTGGGCCCAAATTTTGAAATTTTGAGGCCCATTTTCTTCAAAATTTGGCCTGAAATTAACAAATAAGGCCTTAAAAGGCCCAGTAATGACCAAAAAGGCCCACTTTTTGGGGTCTGAAGGCCTTGTTTGGCCCAAAAATTTTTTTGGGCCCAATTTTTTTTTTCTGGGCCCACCCAAGGGGGGGGGGCCCGGGCCCCTGGGCCCCCCCCCCTAATCCGCCAGTGCTGATAGATGTCACTACAGGTTTGAACATTGTACCTTTTGATTATTTTGCGAACGCAGTTGATATTTCATCGACGTTCGATTATTTACTGCAAACCGGATGTATGTACACTTTCCAGATTTTTTTCTAAATATTCCTATTTTATTCCTTAATTCAATACTGAATCATTCTAGGTGTTTAATCATGGAATAAAGTTTGATATTTTGATTGGTCAAAAGTACATACGTTTCAAATTATATATATTTCATTAGCAGAGTCACTTTGATTTTTCACATTTTTTCATTTCTTCAAATTGAAATTCAATTGTTTCAAATGATTGTGCAATCATAATCATCAATTAAATATCAATAGTTAAATATGATAAGCATCCTTCGATTTCACCACCACTGTATCATATGTTATGTGTCTTTCAAACCCAAACCAACGGAGACTGATAGATTTAGTAAAAGAAAAAATTGAAGGAGTAGGGAGAATAAAGTATCTACTTTACCGGGATTTCTATTTTCTAGTCTAAAAAATGGCCAAGATACAACACCCAGAGGTGCAACATCTCTTTAAGGAGTCACTTAACAATGTTGGAACACCAGAGAAATCTAAAATTGCCACTAGGGTAGTTCAATCTCTTTCACTATTTGATACAAACCAAATCGACAACATACTTGAAGGGATTCAAGCAGATTCCGTGAAGGCTGGCGAGACAAACAAGTATGATGATGAAAAAGAAATAATTATGGATGATTTTAAAGGTTTGTGCAGTCTGGGATGAATATGTTTCCAGAAGCCTGGGTCCAGAAGTCTGTTTTTGTAAGATACAGTGCTTGCGTGAACAAGCTGAACTAATGTACATGTACTCATACAAGCGTTGTACAGTATACAATTGTTGACCTCTCCAGAGGTCAACCGGCAAAATTGTATGATTTTGACGGTTGACCGAATGGAGAGGTCTACAATTGTTTTGTTAGTCAGAAGAAACTAATAATACACATATAGACGACGTCGTCAATCATGGCTTCATTTCACAACCTTTTCTCCGAACCACGCCAGCAATAATTTTTTAAGAAAATCTGAAGACAGTGGTCGTTTAGCGTACTCACTAGTAAATGAATGTTAATTTTTCGTTTCTTTTTGTATTTTTGTTATACTTGTCGTCTAGCAAAGTCAAAATATCACTTTCATCAACGTTTACGAAATGTCCGTCTACCATGTTTTTTTCTGTAAACATTATGACGTCATATTCCCCATAATTCACAAGTGTAGTACAGTAACATAAGCGGTCAATAATATGATATCCCATGATGCACAGGTGAGGTACAGGCAAAAATGTTGACCGCTAATTGACCAATCAGATGCGAGTATTTACACTGAGGTACTAACAATAAGGGTTACTGTACATGTACACTTTAACATAAGTACTTTTCAGTTTCTGTCAAGTGCCTTTTTATAGTTTAATATAAATATTTATACTGTATTATCACAGATTTACAGGATGTGATGCCACTTGTATAAAATGTAACATTAACGAAAAAACAAGCATATTTTATGACTCGAAATACTGAATGTATATTTGTACTACATGATCATATATTCCATTTGAAATAGAAGGTGAAATGGTCTATGCAGTATCTGACAAGATGAGCTGCTCAATGTGTGCTGTCAATTTTGATACAAGGGAGGAACAAGTGAACCATTATAAGTCTGACTGGCATAGGTTTAATCTAAAACAGAGGATAAAGGGTCTAGTCTCTGTTAGCGAGGAGATGTTTGAAAACATTGCAGGTTTGTACTAAAATACTAATTTTAATGGTCTATTTTTGATCTTGATGTAGTATGATGTCTATCATGGTCTTTTTTTAATTAATCGATGGTATTAAAGATCCCAATTAATGGTCTAATGTACCACTAAGCAGTGACCCTCAATGACCCTCTTTAAAGATATTTATCCCATCAAACGAAGTTCGGAGGGATATAGGGAACACCTCCATCCATCTGTCCATCCGTACGTACGTTTGCGGGGCAATATTTTATACACATATACCCTATGGGGGTAGAAGTTCGGCATTAAAATGGCCGCCATTTTAATGCCTATTTTACAGTAGTTTAGGTGCAATATGTAAACCTGAAATAGCAATATTTTAACGTATTTTACTATAACTCGAAAAGTAGTGGAGCAATTTTGTTCATATTTGGTATGTGAATACTATAAGCATGGCACACTGTCTAATGACACTTTTGGTAGAAGGTGGCTATTTTGAAAAATGGCTGCCATTTTTTGCTATATTCCTTGTTTGTAAAAATGCCAGCCATGGCTGTTCGATGGGATTTGCTACGCTTCGGCGTTGCTGTTGTCTAGTTTTTAATTTCTCTGTCCTATTCTATGCATTGTTCTCCAGGAGATGTGTCCAGTATATCAGGGAGTGATAGTGAATCTGACAGTGAAGATGATTCCACAAGTATGCCTCCTTTGATATTACCCCAAGATACCTCAAAATACCTCCCAGCTGATGAGGCACTCTGTACCAGACATCCGAAAGTATTCCTCAGAAATCAAGAGGGAGAACTTATGTCTGTATACAGATGCATTGTTCATGGAAAAAAGGTGAGATGATAAAGATTTTTGGACTCATTGGAAGGAATACCTGTTTATGCATCAGTTCAAGTTTAATTTTTAACTTTTGCAAAGTTATTTCTCTTGCATTGCATCGGATATTCAATAATTAAAAGTGAAGATATAAACTGTATCCTACTTATATTTCTTTTCATACACATTTGATTATTATATACTGTACTATTTGATATAGTGGTGTCGTTTAAACAATAAATTGTACAGATAATCCCTTGATTTAGAAAAATGATGTGGAAGGCATTTTGATATTTTGTCACAAAATCAAGTTTCTTAAGCTTCAAGCCATGTTCATTCATATGGTATACATATGTATGTTGCTTATAAGGATGCCCCAGAGACCCAAGAAGACTTACTTGAAAGGGTCAAACAACTTCCTAGGCAAACCAGATGGGCTGTGTTCATGGCAGGTGGGGGACATTTTGCAGGAGCTATATTCAACAAGTAAGTTTAGACATAACAGGAAAAACTGTTGAACAATTTGGGATCACATCAGTGTTGTCCCTTTACATACTAAATTACATTTAAACATTAATCACTTGTATTATGGGCATTTTAGAACATGTATTTTTAGGCTCCAGAATATTAGAAATAATTATAATCACAATTTTACACTCAAAATTCTTTTACTGTATACTGTGTTCCTTCTTCAGAGGTGACGTTATTGTACACAAGACATTCCACCGCTACGTTGTCAGGGCTAAGCGTGGTACAGCACAATCAGCAAGGGACTCCACAGGCTCAGCGCCCAAGTCTTCAGGGGCATCTTTGAGAAGATACAATGAGAATGCTTTGAAAGAGGTGAAAGATATATGAATAATGTTGAAATAGTTAAACTTGAGCTATATGCTGCATTTTGTACTCAATTTCGAACAATATCAAACGGATGAAAGGAGTATGTCATATATATCAGCTGCCATATTTATGTAAATAATAGAGATTATCCTATATGAGGTTCAGGATATTGGGATTATCCAGAGGCCAATATAATATATCTGCCCGAGGGCCGTAGGATGATCTGTTTATCCCATACCAATCACATTGTTCAATTGTTGCAACCAATCGTGGAATTATTTTAAACTATTCATGTCCAGTTTTTTATTCTTGTCCGTAGCCGGATTTTCCTGTTCAAATATTTGATTATTAACGGGGCATACTGCTCCTTCCCTTCCTTAAAGCATCAAACAGATCGCGATTGTTTGCGTTTTTCTCCATTGTCGTTTACAGTATGCGAACGTTACAAAAAAGAACCAATACAGGAACAGCGATTATGACGTAGCGGGCAGATATACTATATCTGCCCGCTCGGAGCGGGACGTAAAGCTATATCTGCCCGCTGATGAAAATATAAGCTTTTACAAACCGGCTTTATGTACCCGTAACACGTCTAAGTATGGGATAAATGTGTATATATACTTTGGTTGTAGGAGATCCTCCAATTAATCGAAAGCTGGAAGGCTGAAATAGAGAGATGTGACTTCATATTCCTCAGGGCTCCTAGCTGGAATAAGGCATTCTTCTTTGGAGGCAAACAGCCACCCCTTGATAAATCTGACAGTAGACTGAAAATGATACCATTTCCAACCAGGAGAGCCACTTTTAGCGAGTTAAAGAGAGTGCACTCAGTTTTGTCTTCAGTTGAGATTTATGGTATGCACATTTTAAGTTGATTCCTTGAGCTACCATGATTTGAGTGATTAACTAAATTAGGGATTCACGCCTTTGATTGATTAACTTATTTAAAAATGATTGTGGAGCAATTATGACCATTTGATATCAAAATCATTCAAACTGATTTTCCAGGGAAAGACACAACTGTATCTGATCTACTACCAAGTAAACTTAAACCCCAAGTCCAACCAAGGGCAGCCACAGTACCACACGAATCAGAAAATACCACCCATGCACCTGATAAATCTATAGACCCTTCAAGTAGTGACGAAGAAGGTGATACAGCATTGGTGATGCATATGGAGGAGATATCCACGCTAGAAAGTCTTCAAGAATATTCTGGGACAAGACCCCCAAGAAGACGTAAGAAAAAGAAACCAAAATCTGACAAGCATACAGTAGATGATAATGGTACAAAAGAGATGACTGCTCCAGAGAAAGAAAACGATGATGAACAGGCACAACCTGCTTTAAGTAAGTCTACAATACTAATTAGATATTAGAGAATTTTGAGGTTCTTTGAATAATTCTAAAGATATCAGAAGAAATCATACATACTAAATTGATACAGGGTTTATTAAGATGAAAGACAGTGGGATGAGAATCACTATCACTGAAGAGAGTTGTTCTTTATAAAGAAGTGTTCCATCAGGCAGGTCTTATTTTATTATTGAATAGAACGCACCAAATATGAAATCCTATCAAATATGAAGCTTTATATGTAAAACATACTTTTGTAGGTGATGCACAAAGAAAAGTGCAGAACCAGATTTTCACAGCATGTAAAATGGGAGATAGAATTGAATTGGAACATCTGTTGGGTCATGGTGCTGCTGTAGAAATCAACCCAGATGTGTCCAGTCAGATCTCAGTAGATGTGCATAGTCTACTGAATGTCACACTAGGAGAACAGTGCAATACATTTCTACATATTGTAGCAAAATCAGGTCATAAAGATTGTGTGGAGCTCTTAATGGAGCTTGGTTGTGATCCATCTGTTAGGTAATCAGTTTTCTTTCAGAAGAATGGTTCTAAAGTTACTTCATTCAGTAGAGGTGTCACGGATACCCGATTTTGTTCCTATCCGCGGAATTATGCCCTCGGAACGGAACATGGAACAAAAATTAAGAATTTCTATTCGGTTCCGGAACAAGAACATTTTACCCTTTCACAACTTCTGGCCCTTTAATCTCCACAAAACAGCATTTTTCTTTCAATATTTTGTACCAAAAGAGGTTCATTCTTTTTACTCCTTCTCTTTGAAGAGCTTTTTGCTACCAAATAGACCTAGATGATCAAATTATTTTAATCTAATACACGCAGTCACTCTGTTCCGAACCGTTCCGAAATTGTTCAGCTCCTAAGCAAAATGTTCTGAACCGAATCATTCCGATTTTTTTGTTTCATGACATCTCTATCATTCAGTAGTTTTCAAAGTAACGTATTCAAGTGCTAATCAGCACAAGAGTATTATAAGCATTTTAGAAGTGGTGAATGGAGCTCTCATTTTTCAAGTTGGTTGGTATTGTTTTTAGGAGTTTTTTGCTATACATGTATTTTACAAAAGTTATGTTCCATGCACAACTTATGCAAATTAGGAAATATAATAAAAAACAACTGGAATTGTGTTTCCAGGAACAAAAAGGGTCAAGTTCCATATATGCTAGCGTTTGACAAAGGAACAAGGAATGAGTTTAGGAAGTTTATGGCAAAGTTTCCAGATAAATATGACTATCACATGTCACAGGTAAGATAGGTTTTTGCTTCATATTTTATGGTTCAAAAAGTGGTGACACATTGTTACATCCACCTTTTATTTGTGCCTGCCATTTTAAGCTGAGCAGTTGGCATCTGTATCAGATTGTTATACCATTTGCAATAGTTTACCATGTGGTCATATTTTATCATGTCGATGCCTTGTATATTAAATGTAGTTATGCACTGTATAAGCCGTGTCTTAGGGCTGTGTCCTTATGATACACAGAAAGTGACCAATTATCGATAGTGTATTCTAATTCAGCTAATACAAAGGTCATCTTGGGATCTGCCAAATTTGTTCATTGGCAAAAGTGTGGAGATATATTGTCAGCTGTTCCTTGTATTAGAGTATTTATTAGATAGAATGTGTTGTAGTGACAAGAATGTGTTCAATGTGGTGACATTCTGCCATTTGTCACCTCATGTTAAAACATGTGGCTCCATGATTAAAGTATTTTTGATTGGATGCTGTTTAGTATTTTCTGTGTAGATTCCAGCCCCTCTCACTGAAGAGATGGAACTGGAGAAAAAGAAAAGAGACAATGAGAAGAAGAAAGCCCAGAAGAAAGCAAAGAAAGAACGCTTAAAGGTGAGTCTTATTCTATATTGCCTTTGTTCTATAAGTGAATATTGCTCAGTATTTCATGTTTCAATCAAGGTTTAACTATATCGCGTAACTATACTCAAAAAATGATAATGCATTCCCAGCTATGAGCGAATGTCTCTTGAAATTTACTCATCAAGCTATCATATAGTGCATATTCCCCATGATAATGAAACAATCTGTAAATGTCTAATTGCAGGACATCAAGGCAGAAGAGGCAGTCAAAAGAGCAGAAGAGGCAGAATGTAACAGGTTCCTCCGACTCACTGATAGAGAAAAGGTACAATTTAGATACAGTAAAACTGAAAGAACTCATATATTCCAACATTTTTGTCTTATTGCCCATTATCATGTATACTGAGCTTCTGTAAGTGAAACACCTCTTACATGAGTAAAACACTATGTAAAGTTTCACAGGTTGATCACTTTTGTAGTATTACCTCTCTAATTGGTAGAGTGAAGCAATTGGCGGGCATTTGGCATCCCACACAATTTTTGTTTTCCAATAGAATATCATAATCCAAATGCAAACTTCAAAATCTTTAATGTTCATTTTTGTGTTGCTTGCACCACCTTTTTCAGTCGACATTCAACCTACCATTCTAACCCTCACCTAAATCCAAAATCTTGATCCATCTCTCTCTGTATTATGTATTCATGTAACAGGTTAAATTGATCCATAGTTCGAGTACAATCCATCGTTTGTATCTTTTTTCCATTCCCCATGCTTCTTAATAGTAAATTGACTGCTGATGAGTTCGAATACTTCAAGTTGACCCTGAATATTGCATTGGTTGTATTTCAGAGAGCCCTAGCTGCAGAGAGGAGGTTCACAAACCAAGTGGTGCAGGATGGGGGAGCGAAGCCAGTGTTGAGGTATATTGAAGAAAAAAATATATGTGAAATATAAGAAAACAAACACAGCAAATATAGAATGTAATGTAATTTCAATATGCCTCATAGATATAAAGTCACTCAAAAGTGAATTGAAGAACCATTGATAGAGGTTCAAATAAAGAATATTTTAAGCCCTTTAACTGTATTAATTAGTCTTTTAACTGTTGTTTATACTTAATAAAACAGTGCATGAGAGTATTATTCATGTAATTTTGCCAATGCCATCCTCCATTCTCAGGGTGTATTGTTCTTCATTTGGAAGACGTCATTGCCATTCAAATTGTCAAAAGAAGCAATCTTTATAGCCTATTCTTTTAATCCCTGATTAATTTTGTGTTTTTTCAATGCATTTCAGTCGGTGTTGGCAGTGTGGTTTGGACATAACAGGGAAAATACCATTTGAATATTCAGACTACAAGTTTTGCACGACTAAATGTTTAAAAGAACATAGACTTTCCGATAAATCCTGACAACAAACAAACAGAAAGTATATTTTGTTTCTAGTCCTATTATGTTGTTCAATGATTGTTCATGTCCAAATACAGTAAAAGGTGTGTTTATTGAACAGTGGCAATCTGAAATGATCCTGATCAAAGTGAATTAATATAATTAATCAAGAATGAAAGATGATAGTAAATAAAATATGATTTTCAGACAAGCAAATCAGTTTGACAAGGGTTAATACCTTGAAACATGTACTTGTATTACACCAACAGTGAAATATAAAAGGGCCAATTTGTGTGTAAATATTACATACATTCGTAATCTGGTATAGGGTAGAATTCAAATCAGTAATTATTAGTTTATATAATACAATAAATTGCAAGATATGATAATATTTGCATTTTGTTTTTATGTCACCACCATAAAGTATTCACATATTGTTATGGTCTCCATTTTTTGTGACGGCGGTTGGCAATCAGCAATCGGTGTCTGTAACAATTTTTTACAACTTCCAATAACTTGACAAATACAGTTTAGACTGACTTCAGATTTTTTTCAAAATCATCTACAAGTTTTCAGAAGTTCAAATCTGACTAGAATTAAGATTTGACCTTCAATGACCTTTCAAGGTCAAAAAAGGTATTTTCAACTTGCTTCAAATTGACCATATTTTTTTTTCAAAATCATCTTCAAGTTTTCAGAAGTTCAAATCTGACTCTAGAATAAAGATTTGACCTTTTCAATGCCAAAAAAGGTATTTTTTCAAAAGTTCAAATCTGAATATAGCTTTGACCTTTAATGACATTTTTAAGGTCAAAAAAGATTTGACCTTCGATGACCTTCTCAAGGTCGAAAAGGTATTTTTTCAACTTGCTTCAAATTGACTAATTTTTTCAAAATCATCTTCAAGTTCTCAGAATTTCAAATCTGACTTTAGATTTGAGATTTCACCTTCAATTCTCAGGATAAAAAAATCGTTTCAAATTGACCATTTTTCAAAATCATCTACAGAGTTCTCAGAAATTCAAATCTGACTTAAGTTTGAACTAATAATAATTCTGAGCAAATAGGTGCTGACATTTTGTCATGTGAATGCCTTGTTTGTTTTATCAGGGCCTCTTGTTTGGAAAATATTTTCTTAACGTTTCCAAGCAAATCGTTTATAATCAGGGATACATCTTGCTATGAAAATGTAAAATGTAGCATTGATTAGTTTTTTGCATGTAATATTATTTTGACATGGCTATTTTGGATTTTTTCGTCATGAAGTCTATGCATTTTCAGACTTAATTTTCGGCAAGCTTAGTAAATATTGAGATGGCCATTGGTTCATTCAGGCCAGGTCGTTTTTAGTTGTATCAGTACCCCAAGAACAACTCCTCATGAAGAAAAATTATTATTACTTACACTACTTTTACAAATGATCCGGGCAAATTCTGCATGGCCATTTTGGATTTTCCATCCTGATCTAGTTTGTCTGTAAAATCACAACACATTCGAAATTTCTAACTCCATTCAATAATTTATTATCATGTCTTACTAACTATCTAGGTAATGGCTGTTGTAAATATTATGTCTTGTAACTCTCAACAAAGAGCGGTACAAAAAAGCTAGCCATAGATAGATAATATAGAATAAATGCAGATAATAGTACAATTCTGATTATCATAAATAATGAAGGTGTAGTGGCTTTTTATCGACTCAAGAATTAGGCGTTTGCTGCCATGACATTATCTATCCAGTCAAGGAAGGATGTGATCCTAGTAAGAACTCCAGTTGCTGTTGGATCTCCACATCCTCTTCCCCATGATACAATTCCCACAGCTTCAAACACTCCATTGTTATTGAAGGCGTTCACACTGCCAGAGTCGCCCTGAAAAATAGTCAAAAATGACAAAGGATAACGTGGGTGTCAAAAATGGATATTGGGGTTATCCTTCCACCAAGATGTATTGGCATTGTCTAGCCAATTTTGTGATCGGCGTTTGGGCGCAGAGTCTAGACGAATCGCTTTTCAGAAGCGAACTCAAACGAATGCAGATGGTTCAAGGTTTAAAAGGTCAGTGAGAGAGTACACGAGCCTTGTCTTTGTATCAACTACTAAAATGACTAGGTGCATGCCAAGGCAAATAGAAATCAAATTTAATAGACTAAGAGCTGGTCTACTTTTGAACAGTCACTTTTATTCTCATAATTTCCTGTCGGTAACAGATCCCAAATGTCAATGTGGTGAAAAATTCCAAACCACTGAACACTTTTTAATCAAGTGTCCACTGCTTCTTAATGAACGTGAAGTTCTTCTTGCAGGACTATCAGACTTGGACTGTTTACGAGATTTTGAACCATACTCAATTCAAAGGAAAACACATTTTCTATTAAATGGAGATGAAAATTTGGACTTTGAAACAAATGAAAAACTGATTGAAATCACTGCTCACTATACTTTTCAAGCTATACAAAGTCTGGGACAGGGTAATTTTTAACATTTGAGCTTGATACCACAACTTGGTACTGGGGAACAAGCAAACCAAACAACAACAAAAAAAGAAAAAGCTTGTCTGAACATTTTGTGTATTTCTGAATATCAATTTTTATTTATCAAAATGTTTCAATTGCCGATAATGTTGTCCTGTCAACAATGGCAATTTGTAAAAATGTAACCGATTGATTTTTAGAAATAAATATAAAGTATGTAATGCAGATGGTAAAGATGGAACAGCCCCAAGAGAACACAATAAAGCGTCCGTGCTTTGTCTGCAGTTTAGGCAATGATATGTAGTCTATGACATTAAACTATTGGTGCCTTACGCACAAAAACAGTCAGTGGCCAACATTACATATGTTACCTGACAAGAATCTCTCCCCTCCTCTCCAGCACATATGTTACTATCAAACACTGGATCTGTGACTGGATCATATCCTGCTGCACATGCTTCATTGTCCACAATAGGCAAGTTTACGTGTCTGAGGATGTCTGGGGATGTACCACCTTTAAAATAGAATAAGATATACCTGTAATTATCGTGTAAATCATCATCGTCTAGGCAACCATCTCATTCTGCCTTAAGAAGTTTTCTCCATTAAGATAGTTTTTCATGGAGGAAGAAATCAGACAAAATTACAACATAAAAATAAAAAGGGTTATGCTTACCTGATTCTGTTGTGCCCCATCCTGCTACGAGCAGAGTGGTATCATATGTGAAATTGGTCCTCGGTTTACATATTGGTCTCAATGTGTTGTCAAAATCGGTAGGGCCATCGAACGGGAATGCCATTCGCAGCAATGCGATGTCATTCTCTAATGTCGAGTCGTCATAGTTTTCGTGTTTTACTATCAAATCAAACAATACCTCTTCTCCTTGGAGTAAATCTGTTCTGTCGTGTAAACGGACGGTTGCCGTGAAGTCTTCTGGTTTTGAATTCCTATAGAATAGCACATGATATGGTTTAGTTAATATGGGACGTTGGGATGCCCGGTTGGGAGGACTTATCATGATTATTTAGCTACCATAACGATGAGAACGATTCTGTGAAGCTACGGCCGCCGTACGGGCAACGTAGAGCAAATGTAACCGAGGGTTTAAGAGTTAATTAATCTTCTATTTTGTTTCCTACTTGTCCAGACAATGGGCGGCTGTCATTATCCAGTTCTCGTTTATCACGAACGCCCCACAAGTGAAGCCACCCTGCTTATTCAACATCGCCTGCAAGTATTTCACAACCATAAGACAAGTCGAGGGGTGAGAGAGAAATATTATTCAACAAATTGGCTGAAGCCCCAACATTGGTAAGTCGATATAAAAATACTTGTTTTACATCATGCTCATATCACACGAAAATACCAGTGGGGTTACTCCAATTGTGCTTTTGGACGATCTGATCTCTTAAACTTGCGATGGGAAACATTTCGCAATGGTTTAAGAATTTCAGATAACGCATATGGCTTCAGGCCTTTACTGCATTTTGATTGGCCAGAAAGTCTTAAGTGCATGTCTAGTTATGTTTTAAGTATTCAGTACGTACGGTCCATGGAAATTCGTTGGGTCTGGATTCTACACCTCCCACAATGTGGACACCAGCAGGGGTCTCTGTACCAGCATCAGGGTATTGACTTGTACCACAGTCCGCTGTAAAAGTACGGTTATTATTCAAAAATTGTAATTGCATGAGCGTACAGATTCATGAATCTGAAATCTGATTAATGGTTATACCTTATTAGCCTCTAATGTTATATTAAGCCGCTACTTTCCAATGTCTCATTCCACACTCAGTGTAGACATAGGATAGTTCAGAAACGCCCAACCTATACGTTGTCGTATGACCGATCGCCCAGACAAATGACAAATGTATCGCTTAACTATTTTCCGTTCACGTTTAGGTTGTTCTAAACATTGCAAGCTTAAACTCCCTGATAATGTTTAGTCTTAAAAACGCCACCCTAGTATCTTACCTGGGTACCATTGATGCGACCATTGGCAATGGAGAACCAACAAGATTGACACAACGAAACACTTCATGCTGATCTGGCATCTACTAACGTGTACATGTAAAGCATCTGCTCAAAATACATCTTATTTTTGTGGGAATTTGACATTCCTTATTTGAGTACTTTGCCTTTGAGTTCAAGGTTAAACAATCACGCAGAATGGGCGGGGTAGCCATGCTGAAGGGAGGTGAAGAATTGATTCAAAATGTTACGGAAATACGTATAAGCTTATTGTTCATTTAGACGTGTTTTTCGAATGAAAACGAAATCTATTTGTAATTGTAAAATGTTTTAACAAACAAGTGAACTTTATCAACATTATTAATTGTCGTGGATAATCACTTGGGTAACAGTGGCTGCTTTGAAATTACAACATCTTTGACGTTACTTCTGGATCACCCTGTATATATATATATATATATATATTCCATGTTATATTATTTTGTTCTATTTATTTCCATGATTCTTTATTACAATATCATATCATAACGCTTTCACGTCCTTTTTTCACATTGTTTGGCAGTTGCTCTCTGCCATCATTGGCAATATTTCGTTTCTTTGCGCTGGGATACATTTCATCACCATTCACTGCAAGACTGGTTGCATACACTGCTCCTTGATCGAAGTTCCCTTTATTATTGTAATCAGGATATGGGACAGAGTTATTATTTTTGGTTTCAACAGTGTGATAAATGTCTTCAATTACTGGAATGCCATTGCTGTCAAAGGTAGTGGACGGCGTCCTTGGCAGGCGTTCCAATTTCATCGACTTTTCACTCTCGAACGCACCATTTTCAACACCAGAAACATCTGCCTCATCACCCTCTCTGCCTTTTAACCAATTCTCAATTTCCTGTTGAATAAAATTATCTTGATGTCGCTATTGGGACAAAGCAGAAAGGATAACATTTGAAAACGCAAGTCTAGCTACTAGCCCCTGTGATCCCCCTCCCACAACTTGAATGGATCATTCATTTGTGGCTAAGTTACAATATTGTACCCTATGGCATATTGGCATAGACTATGGCACCCTCGTGCCATAAGCTCTATGACACTATCTTGAGTCAAATTCTTGCAGATTTATATGCCTCGAGTTTTGCTCAAAAGCCCCTTTTCAAAATGGCCACCAGTTTCAAAATGGTCGACATTTTAGTGTCAATTAGTTGTACTTAGGCACAACATAGCATATGCCATATGGTGTGCCATGGCACCGTGCCATGTTTTGTACTGACCCATATTATTAAGCATCCTTACCTCATCTCTGTCAGCCTGGTTTAGACCACAGTGTAACACATTCTTGCTCTTCCGTGGAATACAGCAAAAAATCCAGTCAAATATTGGCATGATGTACTTTGCATCAACCTCGTCGGACGACATAAAACCTATGAAGAAAATGAAAGAAATCCCAGTCTTGGAATGGCTTCGACTTAGACATAATAACTTTTGTGACAACGGAATGAAATGTGATATAAATCATAACGGATACCACTATCAAATGATATGCGTAATAGTCTAGAATAGGTATGTTGAAAATAAAATAACATCTTATATTTTGACGAGCACCTTAACCATGGTTATCAAATGAAAGGTAAAGGGTTCCTTTATTGATACCGAGATTTGTCAAGATGAAATAGGTGTCGAAGTGACTTTTTGGGTAAAAAATGTGTTTTTTGCAAAAATAATTTTTTAATTGATAAAAAATATTTTTGAAAACTTATTATATAAAATACAGTCTAGTTGACTCTCAAAAGTCGAAATATACCATGTTTAATCAACGTGGGGGGGATTTTGTGACCTTAATAGTTTTTTTGAAAACTTATTATATAAAATAGTCTAGTTGACTCTCAAAAGTCGAAATATACCATGTTTAATCAACTTGGGGGGATTTTGGGACCTTAATAGTTTTTTATGAATTGATACATGTGAGGCAGCTAACAATGAATTGATACATGTGAAGCAGCTAACAATGAATTGATACATATGAAGCAGCTAACAATGAATTGATACATATGAAGCAGCTAACAATGAATTGATACATGTGAGGCAACTAACAATGAATTGATACACATGTACGTGAAACAACTAACAATGAACTGATACATATGAGGCAGCTAACAATGAATTGATACATGTGAAACAACTACAATGAATTGATACCTGTGAGGCAGCTGACAATGAATTGATACATGTGAAACAACAACAATGAATTGATACCTGTGAGGCAGCTGACAATAAGGCCTAGGATGATAGCAGTAGCAGCACCTATACTTGGGTACCACAGATATGATACTGTGTACAGACTATCTATACCGGTCCTGAAATAGAAACAAATCTTATATTCACCTTAAAAGCTATACATCAGTTGGTTGTTGGTTACTGACAACATAATTTTAGAAAAACTGATCAGCTTTACCATGTTATAGGATAGGCTACTAGTTATCTTTTATACACACATAAATCTTTGTTTCATAGTTATATGAAATTGCTTAAACAGAGATCAATAAATTTATTAAGATGTACTACAGTAAAACCTGTGTATATTAAATATTATTTTGCCGAGAAAAAACGTTCAGTGTTGGTAGGTTCTCACTAAAGAGATGGTAATTTATACAGAAGTCAGTAGAGTATGTGCGAAGGAAGAATCTCCATTAGAGAGAGATATTACAAGTTACAAGTTGTCACTGTACTTGAAATAAAAAAGTGCACTTGCAGTGGAGATCCGGCTGTTGGATCTGGTATATCAGGCAGTCCTAGTTGCAGATACGTCATGTTTACGGTGCTGTTATAGGTGCAGTTTAATATGGTCGTAGGCTTGAAGGGGCTGAATGGTTTCTTGAAATAGGCACCGAAGCTTATCCATAGAGGTAAGGCTAGTCCCACGAGGCCACCAACTACAACACCCTAGAAAATGTAAATTTTTCAAAGGATCGGTATCGATATGGCGAACTGAATTGAACACATGTTTCTCTTAAACCAGTCATCAAAAAATTCTGAAAAGGACGATTCTCGGTTTGGAGAACGAAGTTCATCAATCTAAATGAGCATTATCCCTGCTTCGGACAAATTTGATTTTTTTACATAATATAGATTTGAATGTCTTCTTTTGAATAGTCATAATTTAATTTGGGTAATATTTCTAGATTTTTCGCAAAAAAATATTAGCGCAGTACACTATTGAACTTCTTTCCCCAAATCGAGACTTGTATTTTATTGAATCGGTCTAATTGAGCATTTTCCCTGCTTCAGACCAATTTGTTATTTTTACATCTTGTAGATTTAAATGTTCCCCTTTGAATATTCAAAGTTTAATTTGGGTAATATTTCTATATTTTTCATGAAAAAAATTATTAGCCCAGGAGACTGTTCTCCAAACCGAGAATCGTCCTTTTACACATTGTCAATCTAGTGATCTTCTTTTGAATGCTAACAGTTTAATTTGAAAAATATACTTTTCTGTATATTGTTTCTGAAAACACATCAGACACATTTTTTTGTTCTTGGTATCATATGTTCGGAATCAAAGGAACGTTTGGTTGATTTAAAAAAAAGTATCTTGTTAATGAAATAAAAGGTTTGTTTTATCTATTTTGGTGGTTTTTGTTTTAATTTTTTGAATACGTTTTGTTAAATAAACCACATTTTGTCAATATAACTATAATATTGAGAGGTCTAAGAAAATGTCGTATTTGCTATTTTGTTCCAATAAGGTTCCGAACGATATTTTATTTCATTCCTGAAGAATTGATAGACAGGAACAAAACACAATTGCACTAAAAATCAGTCGGTGACACTTACATATTGGATCGTGTTTTTACAGAATGTTTTCAATAATTGGTTTATGAGAAAATGTTGAATTCAGTTCGTCATATCGATACCAATCCTTTGCTTTCCCAAACTGTTGGGCCCTTTTTAAAAAAAGTCATAGGACCGAATGTTGCTTAAGACCGAGAGCTTCTTTGAACTCACATATTCCAAATAACACACTTACAATCCAGTTCGCCCAGGGAAAAACTGCGCCAAGGATGAAGATACCTATCAACGGACCACCTGCAGCTCCAGTAAAACTCAGAGACGCCTAAAATGTAATATTGGCAATCGTTGGACTCATTGGACGCAAATTGTGATTAACGAGACCTAGCAATGTTCAAAGTGTATATCACTATTAATTTAATACCAACCTGAAGCACAGTTCCTCCAAGGTTTTGGGCTAAAAAGGCCATACCAATACCAGCAGCTCCGTATATTAACACTGAAACCATATATAAATGTCATTTATTCAATTTTGTGTTTTCATTAATCATATTGTCCAAAAAGTCGCGTTTTCCAATTTGCTGTTGAACAAACGTCTATTTTCAAATAAGCATTTACCCATTAATTTGTTGATGAGTGTTTTCCGGGACTCTGGAATATGGTCGAATTTCCACTTGAGCATGTCTTCCCATGTGATAGCAGAGAGGGCGTTAAGGGTGGACGACATCGTGCTTAGAGAACCACTGAACAGACACGATATGAAAAGCCCTGGTAAACCTGGGTAGTCTAGTACTTCCATTACAAAATACGGAATCAGCTGAAGAAAACTGAAAGCTGAAGTTTTTGCACGGACACGGTGGTCCAACTATACACAAAAACACCGTAAATTTAAATTTTTGACCCACCGGATGTTTGAGAATTAAAGATTGTGAGTCTCATACTGCACCGTTTTTCTTCAAACTTGATCCATAGAAAGCAAAACACAAATGCCTTTCTTATGGTACATTATTCTGTTATACAGAGTCCTTCCTTTTAGCAGCGTTTGGGATCCCAGTTGTAAGAAGCGCTTTGGTTTGTTTTGCTTTGTATTATGTTTGTAAATATATACAAGTTTGATGAAAAACGATGCAGTATATGAGCCTCAAACATCCGGTAGGTCTAAAATTCAATAAAATGATACTCGCAGCATGTTGAGAAATCCGTAGTCTTGCTCAAAGACTGTATCCACCCCCTCCCACGTCACCTTCACTCTCTTTACCTGGCAATATACAGAGAGAAGGATAAAGGGGGGGGGGGAGTACAGGGTCTTTTAAGCAAGACTAAGAAATCCGGAATTTTTTTTTGAAACTTGCTCACCCTACTATATAACTATATTAAAGCTTGTTATTTTTCCTCGATGATATTAAGTTATTTACTTAGTTGAACTTTTCAAAATCTCAAAACCTAAACATGCTTTTACACGTGGTTTACTTCCTTCAAATTCAAACCAATTTATATATTTTCTACAAGTAACCAGGAATTCATTTTTTACCTAAATCATTTCTGAAATTCAAAGTCATAGTAAATGGGTGAATATGACGCCAATTTACTGCGATTGTATCATTCCAAAATATAGGATGTTTTTCACTTTCAATATCATGAGGAATTGGACAGTATTTGTATTGGGGCACATGAGACCAGTGATGAACTCAAAGCTGGTAAAAATATGTATAAGACGAGCCTCCAATGAGGATTGAACTCATGACCCCTGATTCCATGGATTTACAAGGCCAGTGCCCAAATCACTGAGAAAAACTAAGTTACTTGTTTAAAAAAAGTAAAACAGAGTATTTGATATTGTTCATTTACGATTAATTATAAATTAGAACTTCTGATAAAAAATGTTGAACAACACCAGCCTCCAATGAGGATTGAACTCATGACCCCTGGTTTACAAGACCAGTGCTCTGCCACTGAGCTATAGAGGCAGCTACTATAGGGGACGAATTCAATAAATGAATAATCATTTTTTGATTAAAGAAGCATCCGCCAGCTGCATGTTTGATTAATAACCTACAAACTGATGTGTTTGTCAATATAATTTAAAGTTTTATTCCATCACTGGTTTGTACATGCCTCTATAGCTCAGTGGCAGAGCACTGGTCTTGTAAACCAGGGGTCATGAGTTCAATCCTCACTGGAGGCTGGAAATATCTACAATTTTAAAATAAAATACTCAAAAATGTTTTTCGATCAAGGAGATCCCGAATATCAGATTTGGCTCTGTTAATTTTTTAATCAAATTAAAATGTATATATGACGTGCTCGGACCTGGGGACAATTCGGGAAATGCGGGCTGATCTCGCCTTATTTAAAAAGCTTACTATGTGTTTTATATATCATTTTGAAGTATTTTTTATTTGCATTTCACTGAAATTATTTTTCCTTCAAAATTTTGATGGGATCCAACATATTTTTAAAGTTAAATATACCCCGACATCGTGAAATACGCTGTAAGACGTAACACTTTACGCTTACAGGGCTCGTTGAAATTGGGATAACTAAAATGTCACAATTTATTCAATGGAACATGTGCATTTATGACGTCACAATTACTTAACGGCTACAGTTCAAATTATCTTATACGAACGCTCTTAAAATTTTCAAAATTGTGTAAGGTTTTGAAGCCGAATGGGACGAGCAATAAGTTTACCTTCATTTAACCTTCTAATTTAGGTCTGAATATTTGAAACAAAAATTAACTGCAAAATATTGTCATGGCGAAATTTACAAAACAATAACCAGTCTGTTTATTTTGCAAATAATATTAAAATAAGAGCTGGTTTTCGAGACTTGAAAAATGTGACGCATCGATTTTTACCACAAATTCCATACATATCAATTTTTACTAACGCCCCAAGTGGATTTCTTGACCGTTTTTCGAAATTCAAAAACATTTTAGAAATATTGTCCTCGAGATCTTGCTCCCCTGTGAATTTTGTCATGATTATATAAGGATAAAGTATTTTATGACGTTACAAGCATGCTTGAAATAAACTAGGCGCTAAGATATGGTTTGAAAGTCCCCCCTCCTTTAAATGCAACATGATTGACCATTTTATATTAGTATGCTATGCAATGTGCCGTTTTTCTTACTTGGTTCGAGTTATCAACGAATCCTGCTTTGAGTGGATCGCATCCTTTATCCTGATAGTAAGCGAAGCAGACAATACCAGCCACGCAGCAGATGGTGATCAGGAACAAGATACCAGGTATATTTAGCAGGATAGCACTGGAATATAGCCCACTTTCAATTTTATTTTGTCACAGGACTCAAAACATATTGTCACGTCTTACATACCTTACATCTCCAAGAACAGAGTATTTATGGAGTAGATTTTTGATATCATGCTCTTCCAACCCAGCAGGAATGAACATGGGCGAAGTTAAAAGTGGAAATTGACAAGCACGGGAAAAAATGTGAAATTTTTGATTTTTCGAAATAGGGGAACATTTCAACAAAACGACCCATTTTCTAAAAAACGAGGCTTATATTGAACTTGGGGCCAAAAATGTTAAAGGATTGGTATCGATAAGGTGAACTGAATTCAACATTCTGTAAAAAAACACGGTCCTTCATGTAATGTTAACTTTTTTAGTGCAATTGTTTTTCGTTCCTTTCTACCAATTCTTGAGAATGAAATACAGTATCTTTCCGAACCTTGCTGAAACAAAATAGCATATACAACATTTTCTTAGACTTTTCAATATTATAGTTATACAAAGGACATTTTGATTAATTTAACAAAAAGTATTCAAAAAATTAAAACAAAACCCCCCAAAATAGATAAAAATTAAAATTAACCTTTTATTTCATTAACAAGATACTTTTTTTCATCAACCAAACTTTCCTTTGTACAATTACAATATTGAGAGATCTAATACGTTGTCTTTACGTCATTTTGTTCCAATCATGAGGTTCGGATAGATGTTTCATTTCATTCTGAACATATGATACCAAGACATTATAGAGAAATATATTATATATTTTTCAAATTACATTGTTACCATTCAAAAGATGACCAATAAATAGACGATGTGTTAAATTTTCAGAATTTTTTGATGACTGGTTAAAAAAGCGTGTGTTCAAAAAGTTCACCACATCGATACCAATCCTTTGCTATACATTTGGAGCAGAGTGTACATGTATATCCCTTCCCAATACGTAATACTGTTAGTACTTACACCCTCGCTTTATTCTTGCTTGGTAGGGAAGAGTAACGCTGGACGCTTGCTTGGTTGACGCCATAGGTTGACAGCCATCCTATAGTGGTTCCTACGATCAGTCCCCAAAATGTATGTCGCTGTGTGGGATCTGTGTTGAAACTGAAAAATTCGTATCATATTAAACAAATTATAACAAGGCATGCGCATTTACATTAATTTTGGTACCTGTCATGTCTAATGTCACCACCTGGTGGCTGTGTGTATAAGAGAGCAAAAATGCATTAAAGTTATTTAATTCAGTTTCATGGTGACCAATATAGTCTAAAATCTAAAAATGTCTATGAATTGCATTCATTTCGAATCAATCTGAATATTTTTGTCAGTGGCACTTGCTGCTTCATGGCTAGAGTAACTGTCTTTCTAGTTTAGCGTAGTAAATTTTCACTTACTCAAAGAACTCGATTCTATCAGACTGCTGATTTATCTCCCAGACACGTTCGATTCCACCAACTTCTATTGTGCCCTAGATTTAGAACAAATACACCAACCACATCTATTTTTCAGAATTTGTTTGACTTTTAATTTTAATGTATTTTGTAATCCCAATTGCTTCAATGCTTACTATGCGTAATAATGAATTGAATCTTTCACCAGGGTCCCTGCCTCTTTTATTTTGATTATCGCCTATGATCTGGTTTAAATAAAATTCTGAAGCAAAATCTTGTTAGTATTTTGGAGTCGGTAAAAACATATTTCTATAACATTGGCGAGTGAGCCATTTATGAAACACGCACCTTTATTGGCGAGTAAGTCATTTATGACAATGACTACACACCTTTATAACATTGGCAAGTAGGCCATTCATGACAATTATGACTACATACCTTTATAACAATGGCGAGTAAGCCGCCAATCATCACTACAAACTGGAAGACGTCTGTCCAAACTACAGCCTTCATTCCTCCCTGGAATAAAAAGTGTTTCATTTGAAATAAAACATATATTATACAATAGTATTATCATATTGTGGCACAGCATTACATATCGTGCTCAATTTCGAAAGATGTCCTGTTAAACCATTGTGATAACCCAACAGATTTACTTTCTTGTTTGCCGCTATTCAGTAATGTCAGTTCGATGTCTCACCACTGTTGGGTTTCACTTAATGTTGTTTATATATTCACATACATGTTTAGATCGTTATTATCCACTAAAGTGTCCGATTCTAGTAATTTGTGGATATTGTTGCTCCCGTTCGTACTTTTGGCGTAATTCTCGAACTATTCTTAGTTCCGTTCGTACTTTTGACGTAAAAAGGTCAAGGTTACTGTCGTAGTTTTCTGGTCTAAATTTCACCCTGTTTACTATGTTTTATCGTTAATCTAGTAGGATATGCACTTAAAACGTAAATTAAGCTCTCTATAGGTAGTTCAAACTTTGCAATCTGTCCCGTATTGGCGAAGTTATGGACATTTTTGTGGATTTACATAAGTTCGTAATTTATGTAAGGCGCTGCGCGTGCGCAGAAGACAGGTAGCCATCTTATGTTTTTCGAGTAAATCATTCGTGATTTGCTCCGCTATCTTCACTCAAAATGTCGCTATCGTTGACCGTCGAGGTGTCTAAACTGTCTCACGATTTACACCAGTAAGTCGTCCGTCCACATGAGGTGATTACAACAGGATTCGCACGAAGTCTGACCCCCAAATCAGGCTTGAAGTTTGAGGTTCACCCCTCCCGCATGACATGCAAATATCAGCACGTCTGTCAAATGGCGAACTACATACCACCAACAACCAACCACTCATATGCTGATGCAAATACCTCATGTGGATGGACACCCTACACCTCATTTCAAGCTGTGTGCACTCTATGTATATCGAGTGTGGCGAAATTGGCAAGTATTACATTTGGATTTGGATTTGACTTGTTAATGCTAAAAAGCACATTGGAATTATTTGACCCATATTTGGTTTACATGGTTGATGATCAACATACCCAGTTTGATCATGTCAGTTTGCTTCATTGTTGATGATCAATACCCAAATTGATCATGTTTTGGTACACTGCAAACTACCCTGTGCAGCTGTATGTTACGTAATGTCTCGCTTGTATATAGTCGTCATATGGAGTTCAAGTCTTACTGTTGGGCAACAGTTAGTGTCAGATAGATGATGGTGTTGAGTTAAACCCTAATGGAACCCTAGTTTATGGTCTAGCCTGATACTTGTTTTGAACTTGAACTATTCTATTGTTTATCGATGGTTGGAGTGTCGGTTTTATTGTATTGTTGCATTAAGGTCATACTTTAATTTATATACTGTATGCATGTATGGGTTTCCCCCAAAGCCACCCTAGGGAGATACAATTTGTTGCACCCAATATTACCAAAGGGAATATAAGTTGTTGCACCCACCCTTATGTTGTGTCTTGGAATATTATAAGTTGGTGATGTACTACTACCAACTTGGGTATACAGTTTTACTCATGTTCATGATTGATCACTTACTACATAACATGCACCCACTTGTTACATAGCATGTACCCACATGATGTGTAATCGCACCCATATGTCATGTAGCACGCGTCGGCATGTTTCATAGCAGGCGCCCACTTGTTGCGTGACATGTATATCCATGTCATGTGATTGCACCCACATGTTATATGACATTAATTTTCCTAGCATGTTACATAATGAGCAGTCATGTATACATTGTTATCACTAATTGGTATGTTGAATCAAATGTTGTACAAGTTATTGTTATAGTCATTATTTGGTATGTTTCACCCAAGGTTGTGATTACATAATGTTACGTTGATATTCCTAGTCAGTCTTACATTTTGTCAGTGGTTGTAATTAGGTTCTTTGCGTCATGTCGTACACTCCAAGGTGCCAGTTGTTGTTGTTCTCATTGTCAAAGGTTGTTGCAAAGTCATGGTAATACATATTGCTATGTATGTTTATTTGGTCACCAGTTGTGTCACACACTCTCCCAGATGAAAGTATTGTATGTTATATGTGTAGTTAATGTAGGATTTATGAATGTGAGCTCAATAATGTGTAATTGCAGTATCAGTTTCTTGGTAATTATGTAATCTTATTTGAGTATGTATTGTACTTGATAGGAAATACTATGTATATTATCGTAACCACATTTCAGGGATCTTAGTTGCATAACGATCCACCTTTGTGCATTATCCTTGAATATGGGTACCCGTTGCCATTGAGTAACGCTGCACCATATATCATCCATGTGTCACAATATCAGAACTTTTATTCATATATATATATTTCCACACTATGTGTGTAATTGTCATAATTACTATACTCACTTTATAATCATATTGTAAATAAACCCATAATTATGTTATCATTTATATTTAAACCAAATCATCTGTTTTGTCAGTTAGGTGTATGTTTTATGTCGCAGTGCGACATATTCAGCCATTTTGCCATTCAACCAATCATGTCTGTAAAACCCTTGAGAGCGCATACAATCACAACACGGACCCGGTAATAATGTGACGATTCTTCCACTCACTCATCAACCCTTTAACGCTACCAATACCTTTTGCACTTACCATGCAGAGTGAGGGTCGTTACATTTTGGTGGCAGCGTCCGGATATAATCAGTTGTGATTGGCTCTCCTTCAATGCTGTGACCCATAACGGCAGAAACTATGTATATGGCAATATATGTGTTACGTAACAGTTTCCAAGAAATTGTGCAAAAATGTGTTCCTCAGTGCATCAACTCAAAAATGCATTGGGACACTCATTTATTATGTCAGGAATAAAGCTAACAGTTACGTTACTCAAACCACTCTTAAGGTTGTCATATTGATAACTTTTGCGACTTAGTTCAACTGGGAGGTGTGTGACCCGTAAATGTGTTTTAAGGAAAAATACCAATTTCCTTATTGTGACAATGCCTTCTTTGTGCTCTTGGTGTGTTCTTTTGCTGGACATGTGGTTAGTTGTGATGTCTTGGTCATACTGTACATACTGACCTAGAGTGACAACTCCAACGGTGGGTCACAGACCAGTGTTCTTACCTAGTGGAGTAAGCTGTATTTATAGGTAACTTCTTCTGCAAGCCAGCTGAAGAGCTTCCTCACACAGTTGTTATTCACCTCATTGCATCTCACCACTTGACTGGTTCAGTTCACGGTTTGAGTTCTGGGCCGTCATTGTTACTATATCTAGTAGTAGAGAAGTTTGTGTTGTCATGCTCGACAGGCAACTCATAATGTCTCTAAAAATGGTTCCGGTTAGCCTAGAAGAAATTTGTAGAAAGTAAGCAGCTACCTTTTTGCAACATGTTGCTTGAGCCAATGGATCCGGTGTTTGTAGTACTGGTTGTGTCCGATATGCCTTTTGGCGACATAACTAGTCTACCCCAGTAATGGCCAGGGGTCTCAGGTCATCAGATTGAGTATGAAAAGTAAAAAGACGCCAACTGTATGTATGTTACCACCAAAAATAGAGTTGGGCTTGAGTGATTAGGTGAGATGAAGTGTGATATTTAAATGGACAACCTGATAAGCTGGATTAGGTTGTAGGGTTACGACTCTTATGGTCTCATATTCTGGCATATATGTGACCACCGTTATGATCACAGTTTGTTGGTTTGTTGCCCCTAACCAACTTATCTGTTTTCATGATTTCATGTTTTATGGTTGAGTCATAACCCTAGATGACCTGGAAAAAGAGATAACCCTGTAGCACATGAAGTCTTCTAGAAGATGGACTATGTTATTTGCGAGGCTTCATGACTTGTAATGATGTACACCCATGTTGTAAGAATGTTCTTATTCCAGTAGTCATGTGGGTTTGTGGTGAGCCTTCATGTTTCTATCAATGGACTGAGACTTTATTCTATGCGTATATCTATTCAGTGTGCTGCAGTAGCTGAATCAAGACAATCTCGCTATGTGTCTGTCACATGTGATAAACTATGATGCTGAATTTGATAAAGGAATTGATTGTCCCGGACACAGCGAAGTCCCAAACTCTAACGATGTCAGATGGAGCAGCGGACACAGCGGAGTCCCCAACTTTAGTGATAATTAACCAGCACCTTTGCTGATGGACAATTTAGTATTAATGTATTGTAAAGTTGTATTTAACATAAATATATCAGTTGGGACTCCTTTATCGACTCAGCCTCATGTTCGAGGACGAACACTTTTCAAAAGGGGGAGTAGTGTGATAACCCAACAGATTTACTTTCTTGTTTGCCGCTATTCAGTAATGTCAGTTCGATGTCTCACCACTGTTGGGTTTCACTTAATGTTGTTTATATATTCACATACATGTTTAGATCGTTATTATCCACTAAAGTGTCCGATTCTAGTAATTTGTGGATATTGTTGCTCCCGTTCGTACTTTTGGCGTAATTCTCGAACTATTCTTAGTTCCGTTCGTACTTTTGACGTAAAAAGGTCAAGGTTACTGTCGTAGTTTTCTGGTCTAAATTTCACCCTGTTTACTATGTTTTATCGTTAATCTAGTAGGATATGCACTTAAAACGTAAATTAAGCTCTCTATAGGTAGTTCAAACTTTGCAATCTGTCCCGTATTGGCGAAGTTATGGACATTTTTGTGGATTTACATAAGTTCGTAATTTATGTAAGGCGCTGCGCGTGCGCAGAAGACAGGTAGCCATCTTATGTTTTTCGAGTAAATCATTCGTGATTTGCTCCGCTATCTTCACTCAAAATGTCGCTATCGTTGACCGTCGAGGTGTCTAAACTGTCTCACGATTTACACCAGTAAGTCGTCCGTCCACATGAGGTGATTACAACAGGATTCGCACGAAGTCTGACCCCCAAATCAGGCTTGAAGTTTGAGGTTCACCCCTCCCGCATGACATGCAAATATCAGCACGTCTGTCAAATGGCGAACTACATACCACCAACAACCAACCACTCATATGCTGATGCAAATACCTCATGTGGATGG